AAGGTATAGGTAATATGGTTTGAGATCAATAAGCATAGGTAAGACATTCTACTTAAAAGACAAATTATTTTCCTGTATAGTACATAACTAGAAAAAGTATTATACTTTCTGTCTCCACTCAACAAATGGAATGTTTTCATTTATCAAGAAAAACATTCAATATTCCCTATTATAGACTGTAAGAATCAAGTATTAATCTAAATATAACTACAAAAAAGAAATTTAAATTAGCTTCTAGACAGTTATGAAATGGTTCATTGAATTAAGGCTGGTAACCAGTTTTTCCAAGCATTAAATAGTAATAAGCAGAATGCATAGCTGACAAATGAGGATCAGACCCACTCTTCTTCATACATTGAAAGACGACTGATATACTCCAAACCTGCAAACTCGTATCCTTCCATTTTGCTCATGATGTCATTATCATCTGGTGTGAGCTGGACAGGTTCCTCAGTAAACTGAGAATCAAAGTTGTCCAACCCAAATCCCTCAGACATATTTGGTTTGAAGGGAAGCACTACTTGCTTTCACTCCTTCATGTCCCAGTCAACATTTTGAAAGAATGGATGCTCCTGAACATCGGCAAAGCCCCTCTGAGGATGGCAACCCAATCCTTCCTTTGGGTCCCTGCTCAGAAAACTCTTTAGGACACTTGCAGCTTCTACAGACAGACCCTGAGGTATGCGAATTTCTCTTTGCAAAATGACTTGATAGAGATTATTGTTTGAGTTTTGGTCAGGGTTATCAGAGCTCTCATCAAGATGAAAAGGAGACTCTCCAATCAACATCTCATACATCAGTACTCTGAGAGTCCACCAGTCCACACTGAAACCATAATCTTCCCCCCTTACAATTTCTGGAGCCAGGTAATTAGGAGGGCCACAGAAAGTGCTGGTCACATCTCCGGGCTGTAAGCCTTCCTTACATAGGCAATAGTCGGTGAGTCTAATGTGCCCTTCTGAGTCCAGTAGAATATTGTCCAATTTCAAGTTTCTATACAGTATCCCTCCCTGATGAAGATAGTTGAAGGCTAAACTGATTTCTGCAGAGTAAAACCTGGCATGTTCTTCAGGAAGGATTCTTTGTTGCTGCAGATAAAACATCAGATCTCCACCATTTACATAGTGTAGAACAAAGAACAGTCTGCTTTCTGTCTGGTAGCAAGAATGCAGTCCTACAAGAAAAGGATGATTAGTGGCCTGCTGTAAAACGTGCTTTTCTGTCTGTACCCGATCAGTGTTGACAAGCTCTTTTTTCACTGCTTTCATTGCATACACACGACCTGATTTTTTCAGTTGGACTAACAGTACTTTCCCATAACTCCCCCTGCCTATCACACGAAGCAAATCAAAGTCCTGAAGACCTAAACCAGGTGAAGCTTTGCCACTTTCCCTGTTGTTCCCTGCCTCATTCTCTTCATCAACTTGTTCTAAAGCCTCATGAGTTGCAAGGTTCTGTGGGGTCGCTGTTTGTGCAGGGTCTGAAGCCATGGATGATGGACCGACTGGCATCAGGGCGTCTGATGGTAAAGAATGCTGCCCACATTCAACTGTGACAAATGTGTGGCACTTCTTGTGAACCGAGAGTTTACATTTGGTGCACTTATATACCTGGCGGCCAAGTCCCCCTACACGGTCTGTGCAGACAGCACAGTGAGCCTGCCTGTTGAAGCATTTGGCTTGAAAAGTGTGGCCATTAGCACAATACAGCTTTCTCCAGCAGCCTGCAGCTCTGTGGTGGATGGATTTCTCTTCTCCAGGACAAGGCATTTTAGGATGTTCTGGTATACAAGGTGATACATGAACTAAGAGTTCATTTTGAGAACATGAGCTTTTTAGTCCAGAAAGCCTAAAGGCCTCTTCTAACTCCACCTGAGGTGACACAGTGTATGAGTCTCCTTCCTCATCTACCCAGTCTGTGGTGAAAAGCTGTTTATTGTCCAAACACCACATATCTCGATCTTTATCACAAAGGCCGCAAGGGAGATGGAATTCTCAAAAGATATTGTCAAGATGCCTCTTCCCAAAATCAGGCCCGATGGGGTGGAGGTGTAGATCATGGAGGTGCCCAGGAAGAAGGGACCATAGA